CGGATCCGTTGACGGCGACGGCCACCGTAGAGAACGCCGGAATTCCGCCGCTCGGTTCTGAGTTCTCGTCCTGCATCGCCACCATGAAAGCTCCAAGGTTTCTGGCTGTTGGTTTCTTCTGTTACACGGCGATGAATGGGTTCTATAGACCGCAAATCCACTTGGTTGACTTTATGATGAATTTATAAGAAGAAGACAATGAAAGGTAGGCTTTGGTATTTATGGGCTTCAAAATAAATTGCGCCTACTCGTTAGAATATTTTTTTTTTTTGAAAGTGCGATTAGAAAAATAATTTAATTTTGTTCTTTGGAATATCATTTTATTCGGGGCTTATATTTTGCTAGAAGTTGAGATATATAACTTTAGTTTATATTCGATCAATTAAACCCCCATAAAGCTGGAATAGAAATTACCAAATAAATTCATCGAATCTTTTACCCAACTACATCTAACACAGGATCGGAAAAGTCTGAGTGCATATCCTCTCCACATTTAGATTTGAATCCGGTAAAAACATAATTTTCATATTTTTTTATCATTAGATCATCCAAATTTGAATGAAAAATTATCAAGTTAGTATCATGCAACCATCTAAAAGTATTTTATTCGATATTGATACTTATAATTGAATATTTTGAATTAAAGTATCAAAATCACTTGATAGAGATTTTCATTTTCGTGTCATTTTTTTTACTTGGAATAAATATTTTGAATTAAAGTATCAAAATCACTTGATAGATATTTTCGTATTCCTGTCAAAAAAAATTTTCATTTGGAAGAAAACATTTTCCATTGACCAGGTGGTTTAATGAATATAACTTAAGAATAAAGGGTCTACATTGAAATGTTTATCAAAATACAAGGATAACATAAATAAAAAATAAGATGAAGCGTTGACATTAATGAGATATAATAAAAACATTTGGGAAAAAAAATTGAGCAACTTGCGAATTTCCAAATGATATATTTGACTATCTATTTGGATTATATTAGAGAAAATGCAATTATTTTTATTAAGGCTGGTTCGTAGATTCTGTCTCTGGTGCAATGAACATTCTCCGGAAACTACTTTTCTCCATTTAGCCACTCAGCAATTTGCAATACTCAAATCCCTCAGATTTTTTTTTTTGATAATCGGGTGATCCCAAACCTAAAGGCCCAAACTAATCCCGATCCACGCGCACGACCCTGCAATACACACGTGAGATGTGAAACATCCATATTCCCCTCAAATCCATCAGTTTGATGACGACATCATGAAACAAATGCTCATTACCCAATGAATCACCTGATGATGATGATGATGATACAGTTCAATATTATTTGACATATATATATATATACACATTTATGTATATTTCTAAATTCCTTTCACTTTTGGTATCAAACACATATAACAAAAATCGAAGGGTGAGATAAATCCGAAACATAATGACACCACATGGTCGGAGAAGGGATGACTGTTTAATGCCACCATGAACATGTAGAATGTCTCATCCGTCGTTTACTGCTCTCACACACACACACACAGGGATAAAGACAACCATTCTGATCAACCCAAAAAAAAAAACAATAAAATAGTAAAAGAAAAAGGCTCATAACATTTCCAAAGGGGAGTAAAAAAAATAAAGGTAAAAATAAAAATAAGCTTTTTTTCTAAACGACATCGTTTTACACCCGCCCGAGCAACTTACGCATCGTTTTCTTTGTGAGGGAATCAGTGATGATGGTGGAGCCTTTCGTCCTTGACTTGAAGGGTCTCGATGCCTTTGATGGTGGTTTCGTAGTGCCTTCTGGTGGAGGAAGACCTCTTCGACTCGGACAACCCGACCGGCGAGTTTCTGGGTATGGCCCCACCACGGCTCCTCTGAAGTTCGTCCACTGCCAGAAACGCCTCCCGGCTGCTTCCACCGGTCACCCTCCGTGAAGATCCGGCCGATTGAGCAAACAGCGATGAGCTCGGCATATGCTGAACCCCCATCATCATCATCATCATCATCATCATCATAACAACGATGTTTCATGTTTGAAGCAAACATGAAGGAAATTAATCAAATCTCCCAAGGCAAAATGAGTGTTAAATCCGCTGAAACTTAAAAAAACTTGAACTTTCTCCATGATGAGACATTGAAGTCCACATCTTTTAAATCATTCAGAAAAGTTAATCGAATTTCCAAAGGCAAATCATTGTGAAAATCTGAACCTTCCCCAAAATGGGACCTTAAAGTCAAGATTTTTTTTTAAAAAATCATTGTAAAGTGCAGTCTATGGATAAAAAAAAACAAGAGCAAGGATCATACCATGGTCTCTCTAGCCATGGCTGACTCGCCCATCCTCTGATGGTTCGAAAGGTTCCCGGAGTTATCAAGAGCACCTGACATTCTCCTCCTCGACGAGTCCAAACCAATTGGACGCCCTTCTTCCTCACCTTCATCGCCAAAAACATACAGAGAATATGCTGAGTTCTGTGAAGTGGAACAAGAAAGAAATCTTTTCGAACAGTAAATCTGTAAAATACCCGTGTATCGGTCGATGCTGGAAATGCCCGGAGGCAACCCTGCGCTTGTTCCCACAGCAGGGTTCTGTGACAGAAAAAACTCAATCAGGAAAAGACCACAGCCGGGTCGAGAAATAAGATTGTACAGAACTATAGAATCCCCCTTACGATGCCACGAGTCTGGGGAGCAGTCAGTTGGGATTGTTGATACTTCAAGATGGTCCAGTCAAACACATAATCAAACTGAAACCCTGCAACAGATACAATATACCCTGTTTCAGAAACAGGGATTGTGCTAGAAACGAGTTTGTTATGGGTTTGGAGAAAGAAAATTTCAAACCTTCGCGGATAAAGAGATCCCGGAATATTCTCTTGAGATAAGCATAGTCTGGTTTATCATCAAAACGGAGCGATCGGCAGTAATGGAAGTAGGACGCGAACTCAGATGGGTAACCACGACATAAGGCCTGGAAGAGACAACCGTGAAAGAATCAGATCATAGGAAATAGATTTCGGAATAAAGCAGCATACTTTGCAAAGGAACTTACCTCGATGGATGTAGAGACTTTCTTTTCACTGATCCTCTCATACTTTTGTTTCTTCGTTCCAGCTTTCAGTCCTTGCCACGGAAGACTGGAAATGGAAAAAAAAATCCCAAGGTCAAAACCACCACGAGTAGTAAGAAAGTCAAGACCAAAGCAGCGCTTGTAGCAAAACTCACCTTCCTCTTAGGAAGTACATGAGGATATAGCCAAGAGACTCTAGGTCATCTCTTCGACTTTGCTCTAGATTTTCGCGATCCCATACAAAGAAAAAGCCGTAAGTCAAATAAATCTTGATATCGGATAAGGAAAAGCACTTGAACTGAAGCAGACTTTGTCAAGCTTACCGATTCCTAGGTGAGTGTTCATGCTTGCATATCTTGCTGTTCCAGTCAAATTCTTATTCTCCCTACAATATTAAGAGATTCAAGATTGGGTTCAGCGTTTACACAACAGGTCCTGCTCAAAGGAAGAACAGAGGGAACCTACACATTATAAAACAGCCATCTCACCTGTACGGAATGTGCTGATGGGTTGTACTATCCCTGTATTTCTTAGCCAGTCCAAAGTCGATGATATATACCTTCAGAGAGGAAAGAACACAGTTAATGGTAGTTAGTCATTCTGATGATATAGAGAACAATTTTTTTTTAAAAAAAGACAACATATGATCAGCTTTTAAAGGATTAAGGTGATAAAACCTGGTTTGCACGTCTTCCCAAGCCCATGAGAAAATTGTCCGGCTTGAGATCTCGGTGAAGGAACGACTTTGAATGGACAAACTCAACACGGTTTATCTTACATAAGAAAAGAGGAATCACTATCATTCCCAAAACAAGTAAATGAAAAGACAAAAAGGCTTCGTGACTAAGAAAAAAAAGAGACTCACCATTTGATCTGCAAGCATGAGAACCGACTTCAAGGAGAGTTTCCTGCTACAGAAATTGAATAGATCTTCAAGACTCGGTCCAAGCAAATCCATCGCCAAGACATTGTAGTCCCCTTCAACTCCAAACCACTTGGCATTCGGAACCCCGGCTGGAAAATCAAACCACGGACGAAAACAGCACAAGCCATGAGAATCAGAACAAAGAAGTCCAAATTGATAACAAGCTCGTTATCAGAAATACGATTTCTTTAAAGAAGAATCATTACTTCCTCCCTGCAGAATCCTGTATAACTTCGATTCATACAGCAGCTGTGGATGTTTTGTTTTCACGTTTTCCTGCAAAAGAAATGATACATTATCATCATCCAACATACCACATCTACGGATGCGGATCGAATCCTGGCAATTAAATCCACGTTTAAGCCCATCTCCCAAATCTCACTCAAGAACTTCCTCCACCATACATTCTAATACTGAGTTCAGATGTATAACCAGACATACACAATTAAGCTACCCCAATTCCTGCCTCTACAATTAAATATACAGAATTTGGCAAAGAAACAACACCAAATGGAATGAGCAAAAGCTCAGGAACGAGATACTCACAAACTTAATTGCAACCTCCTCATTCGTCTGAACATTGGTACCTAAACATTTCGATTAAGAATGTCAGAATACTCCAATGTCAAAAACCCATTTAATTGATCGAAAGTATCCAGCAAAAAAAAGGAAAAATCAAATCAAATCTGGAAGACGAACCGAGATAGATCTCCCCAAACGAACCGCTTCCGATCTTCCGGCCGAGGCGAAACTTGTTTCCCACGCGGGGTTCCATCAACGACGACGACCCAAATTCCGAAACCCTAATTACAATCTGAAGCCCTACCTTTGATTCATAATAGAAATTATTTTCTACAAATAAACAAAAGAACTCCTTTCCGACACCGGAATCAGCCGCACCAACAACTCATAATCTCCATAAAACAAAATGCAGGGCTTCACACAAATACAATTCCCTGAAACAAGAAAAAGCTGAAAATTCGCGGATTTTTTTCGCCGACTAGGGCCAAATAATTCGCGGAAACAAGGAGAGAAAGCAAAACGCAATAACCATTTTCGTCCACCTCTCGATCTGGAACAAATAATTCCTCACAACCCAATGCTGTTTTTTTGTTCACGCTTTTTTTTTCCCGACGCTAGAATGGTAACAAGGATAAAAGAGAGCTTCGATGGACAGAGAGAGAGAGAAAGAGAGAGAGAGAGAGAGAGAGAGAGAGAGAGAGGGGGTGTTTCTCAAAGGTTGGATCTTTTCCTTTCACTTTCTCCTCTTTCCTCTCTCTTTCGTTGCGGGTAATTATTCTCAGCTTTCCGATTTAGATTGAAATTTTCCAAACCGAACCAGATTCCGGTTCATCCTAATAGAAATACCACATCAACGTCATTCAAACAAAAAATTAATCAATCACATTATACTCAATTCATAATTTATTAAATTCAAAACAACTTTTTTTTGAAATTTGAGTAGCAATCGAAAATAAATTATAACAGATTGTTAAATGAATTTCATAACATCTTCAACCTTTTTCAGGCCGGTTCTATGATGCGGTTCAGTTTGGTTATGATATTTCCCGGTTTTGCCGTGTTTGAAAATGCACGCGTAGAATTTACTTTGTCGGGTTTTTTTTTTTTTTTCGACTGGAAAAGGAAGTTATAATAATTATTTATTTGGTAACGAGAGAGATAGATGGGTGACCGTCGGACAGAGCGTGTTGGCTACGCGTGCCTTCAGAACCTTGTGCATCGCGTAAGTGGGGCCGGCTACGGTCGTTGGCACGTGACTTTTAGCCACCTGTGACTGTGAGCCATTGTAAACGTTATCCGCACGTGTTTTTTTTTTCCTTTCCATCGTCTCCTGTTTTAATTTTTTTTTTTAATGTTGACTTCACTGTTTCTTTAAGCTGAACTTTGTCCAATTAGTCTTTCGATTTAACATTTAATCACGATAATTAATTTTGTCTTCTCCTCCTCGAATCAAACCTCACTAGGCTTGCTCTTTAGCACTTATCGTACCAATAGGAAATAATGAAGATAGCAATTAGTTTCGGTCAAAATAAAATACATTTCTCATAATAAATAACATTAAAACAGTTATGAATTTAGCTAACGTGAGAAAATTATAATTCATATTTAGTCTTGTTAAAGTACAACGTGTAACGTATGCGTTGTTGGTATTTTTAGAGTAAATGAATGAGGTTTAATATTAATCTCTCAAGAGATTCATAGTTATATGTATTACGGATATGGTGGAGGAGTTAAATATTCGTAAATGATATAATATGGATCGGTGAAACACATATGTGTTTGGCAGTAAAGTTGTTCGGTTTGTGAGTGACGTATACCTCAACTCGGGTGAAGTAGAACTCAGTCTTCATGACGAAAACGAAATTTTCTTTACAGAAATGTAACTCGGTCCGTGTTAGATTTAACTCGAACCGTGTTGATTGTCTGAGGAAAAATTCGTGTTGCACAGAAATTTGACACGGCCCGTGTCAGGTGGAACTCGATCTGAGTCAAAAGTCTATGAGAAGTACTTCATGTTGTGTCAAGTGTAACTCGGAACATGACAGTTATATACGAACTGATGCGATTCTTCGCGTAATAACTGCAGATTTTGCAACTTTTGGTGATGATCTTTGGTGTTTATATACTAAAGATGTCAGAATAAGTTGGGTACGATATTGATTTCATTTTTGAGAGATTTTGAGAGCACTTTCGGAAGTTTCTTGCAAAAACTCTCCCGAAAGCTTTCGTTCATCTTCTTCTTCACGTTTCCTTGTCTGTGCGTTCTTGAACGAGCAATTCTAGAACGTATTTCTCTTCATTGTATTTCAGAATCGTATTCCGGTAGTCCTTGCTCATAACGGACGGAATAACGGTTTTAGGAAAGTGTCTACACGCCTTGAAGAGATATCCGGTCCCTCGGTTCGATTTCATTCTCATTTTTCCGTTGATTTCCTCCAGATTTCTAACAATCTAAAACCGTTATCCACTCGAGGATGACATCTTCTGTGAGGGATTTGGCTATGAACTTTCACAAACTCGACAAGTTCGAGGGCGTGGGCTTTAGGGGGTGGCAGAAGAAGATGCACTTCTTGTTGACGATGTTGAATGTTGTCTGCGTCATCAGCACACCCAGACCGGAAGAGACCGAAGAGGAAACTTTAGCGCATGTACGTATACGAAACAAATGGAACAACAAAAACTATGTATGTTGCGGTCATATTCTCAACGGTATGTCAGACGAATCTCTTCTTCGTTTGTTGTTGATGATTTCGATGTGTCTATGTTGTGGCATGCTAGACTAGGACATGTTCATTACAAACGTGTTAACTTTATGTCGAAAATGGATTTAATTCCACCATGCACGTTGAATGA